TTGTAATACTCAAAAAACTAAGCGACATATGTTTTTTTTTGTTATATCGGTGAATATGCAGTTTAACGGGGTAAAATCCCCGCTCCAGGGATTTAACGTGTAACAGAAATAATTGGAATTTTTTATAAAGATATTACGTTTGTTTGAATTTTAGTAGGTGTAAAATATTTTTTATCGTAGAAATCCTAACATGGACTCCTAATTTTTCGGAAGGATTTGTTTTTTAAGAGTAAACTATCACCATGTTGAATTTTTCTTCTCCACAAGCAAGATTTGTTTGCGATCTATTAAAGATATAATACTTATTCTGTATGGTGATCAAGCATTAAGCGACACATACGTTTTATGCTGTCAGGGGAATAAACTTTGAATCACCCTTTCAACGTTACAAGCCAAATTATTACAGAAAATTATGTTCCTTTATTTCTTTTATGTCTTTATGATTATTATGTAATAAATTTACCCTGTTTAATCAAAACTTTACATATTATATGTAATTTCTATCTAGGATTCCTTGTAAGTCAAAGTTACCCCAACTTTCGGTACGTTAACGATATTTATCACTTGTTTCTAACAGCCTACGCTATTTTAACTAAATTAAATATCGGACAAGTATTCTGAATTCTAATTATACCACAACCTTGTTACAAGAATAATGATGAAAAACAAATTTACTTATCGATGCACACAATACTACCTGTGGTTTCCGCGTGATTTCTTTTTTGAACTTTTCTTCAGGGATTACTTAAGAGCCCTGCATTCTACCGCAAGTTCTTCGTCTTTCTTTTCTACTGAAACTTTCTACTCTTGAAGAGATTAACGCTCTCAAAATAAGGTCAGAAGTTTCGTTTTGCTTTTATTGGTTCTCAAACACCAGACACGATTGTACATAAAAAATATTGGGACCGAGCGAAGTGAATGGAAGTAAAAATTCTTTCTTGCTTCCGAGACAGTACTTTTGAATACGTAAACAAGGAGTTTCCTATAAGAATGCCATCGATAAATAGAATCGTCGAAAGATTCAAAATTGTAGCCTGCCTCGGTCGTCATAGTACTCAGTCCGTCTTGAATAGACTGCAGCTTGGCTTTTCCTCAATGAAGGCGCAATTCCTGCGTACTTTAAGCTGGGAAACATCGTTAAGGAATACGATAATGACTGTAAACAATCTTGTTTCTCGCATTAAATGCCCCCGAGGGAGACTTATTCAAAGACACAGAAAGAGGCTTTCTTTGCCTCGTGCTTTCCACTCGTCCGACGAACTGGAACTTCTTATTGTGTTAGAGGATATAATAAGCTCTATATAAATCTTGTTTCAGACGAAGCGAAAGCTGAATGGCTCCGGCATTATTTGTACACAGTTTTTCGACCTGTGACGCGTTGTCTGTCTTTGAATTGAGACGGTTGATCCTTAAATTCTCTACTAATTGTAGAATTCGATTATGTCTTGTTGGGCAATGTGCAAAGCGAAAGATTGTGAGGAACAAAATAACGAACATTCTTCTGTACTGTTTACGATTACTAAACAACATTTCCGATTATTTGTGTTAACAGGCGTTAGTAATTATTAATGCTTAAAGAATTAAAAGAAAATCACTGTGCATTTAAATGAAGAAGAGAAACAACCAGTGAGATGAGGAAAAAGTAGATCAAGAAGTTAAGAACGTATCAGAGGACGAGTGATTTCACGGCCCGGAACAGCGCGGAGTACATTCAGGTTTCGTGATAATTTAATTATATAATTCGTTTCCGACGGAGTGTTTGACGAAAAAAGACGGCAGAGAATCGCAGCCGCCTGAGCGGACATTCGTGAATCTTCAACCGTCTTTCCTCTGCTCATCGACGCGAAGATCGTTAAAGACTCTTATTACACCTACATTCCAGGTATCGAAAAAAGAGCAACTACGGTTCATTCACACTTTTATACAACGGAGTTTCACTGAATATTAAAATTCTCTGTGCAACGAATAATTTAGTACTCGAATTAATTATATGAGAAGCATCCGATTAACATAATCGTGCAGAAAATGGCTACTGATTTGTACAAATTAAGTAGTATGGGAGAAGAGTTACGTCACAATCTTACCAATATGATAAACAAATTATTAATTTCACTAAGAGTTTTAGTAACCGAAATAAGTGTACATCATGGAGTAGAAAACTCTCTCAAGGTACTTTCCATGCAATTCTCGTAAATCCTTTACTGTAATTGAATTTTTTTATTAACACGTTCCGTGCCACATGTACCACCGATGGCACACGCAGCCTGAATGGGAAATTTAACGTGTACCATCGATTGTACATATGGCACTGAACGTCTTAATGTTGAACTGTAGTTTAAAACAAGACCAACAGCCTCTATTAACAAAAGACACAAATTTTCGGTAATTTATGGCTTGAAGAACGACATAAAGATTGTCTGGCTACGTACGGCCTTTTTCACTGTGGCACGGAACGTGTTAAACACTGCATGATAGGTAATCATGTCGAAAACACCAAAGGATAACCACCTAAAGAAATTAATAAACTCATTTACATCGATCTACAGACAAACAGCCTATATTTTTTAGTTTGACCAAATCACAAACGATCGTCCTCTACCCTCTAAAACGACGTCTACCATCCCCGTTTCCAGCATCCAGCAGCAATAAACGGCACCGCGAGGGCGGTTCAATGTACATCGAAGAAGTGGATTGTCGAAAAGGAGCCGGAAGCGTGTAAGCCGCTATAAGCCGACAGCTATCATTACTACTAGACGCCCGTCGTCTCTTCGTTCGTTTTCGCATTTTCCTTGAAATATCTGTCGTTAGCTGCGTCTGGAGGGATAATGGGGAGAGAAGACCGGGGTGCTGCGAGGCGTGGGTTTCGCGACAAGATGGGTGGAGGGGGATGACGAGGGGGTGGCGGAGTTTAAAGGGAGGCTTGACTGCCGAACGACTAATAAGATTACCTTCCGCCTAATCATTCTCGCTCCTGTGAGCGCCATCCACCACTTACGACTCTCTCTCTCGAGCCGGTCCTCCGCCACCCCAACCCCAAGAACCACCCCGTTTGTATTCAGCGAAGGATAATTTTCCGGGGCGACACCTAATTATCAGGAAATTCTGTGGTAAGCGTGTCTACGAGGCTTTCCGCGTAAACGCGCGTTTTCGAGACAGACAGCTGGATAAGCGTGTGGGGGAGCAACGGGGTAAATAGATGGATTTAACTCTGGAGGATGCGCAGCCTTGGCAAGGATGTGTTTTGTACAGTTTACTCGTCTCGAGTCGTTCGAGTTTTAATGCAACGCGCGAGGCGGATGGTGGTAGTTCTTGGACGGATTATTTGTGTCGCGGCTTGAAGGGAAATTGACTGCTACGGGGTTGGGAAATAAATTTCCCGTGAAATTGGTTCCTGCGATTAGAGGGGGCGGATAGGGTTACTAGGGGATTTTAATTCTCGACCTTGGGTAGACTTTGTGAGGGGTAGCAATGAGTCATTTGGTGGATATTTGCAATGAAAATATTTAAATTCGTAGTATTTTTAAGCATTGATATTAAATGAAGATTGTTTACGATTATTCGGAATGAAGATTGGTGTCTTATAGCTTCAGAAATAAATTCTGAATTTAGTTTTTACTTCTACTTCTTAGAAAATTCTACAAATTTTTTTGTATTACAACGGACAATAATAGTACACAATCTCATATTAATATTAACAGATATACAAATTACATTATATACAAATCTGAGAGAAATGGAACTATACGTAAACATTATATTTCAGTGCCCACAATGTATTCAACTAATATTTCCCAATGCATGTTCAATTGTCTCTAATCTAAGGTTCCTTAACAAACTTTTATATATTAAAATTATGGTTCCAAAAATTTGTATTCATTCACTGAATCTCTAACTATTATAATTCTCGTATTAATATCTTCGTTGCACCCTGTATATAAAAAAATGAAAAGAGTCTCCGAAGAACTACTAGAAATTACGGAGAACTAAATAACCTCATAAATTATCGAACCATCAGAGACAATTTTTCATTCCTCTAAATCAGCCTCAAAGACCTAACACAGATAACGTCTCACGCGATAGACTGTGTGGTCTCAAGAAAAACTCACTGAACCCCAAAGAAAAGAGGGTAGACGCTATACGAATTTCGTTCATAAAGCCGGGCATTCAAAGGAAAGCTTGTATCTACACGGAGGCACACGCGCGGAAACCCATTTTTCATTATTCCAAGTTTATCGAGTGACACGAGACCCGGGTGGTGTCTCGGTGTTTACACGGATGTTCCTGTCCGCACGATGAGACTCGGCGGAAAATTCGTTGGCCTTGAAAAGGGAGAATAATCGCGCAGGGTGTGTATCCATAGACGGGACACAAAATACGCGTGTGTCAGGGAAATCCGCGACTCACCACGAAGCAGAGGAAAACGTAATTAGAAGGGGGAGGAAAATTAATTTCGTGGAAATTCTGGTGAACACAAACTGTTTACAGTAAACAGAAATCTTACTGTAATTCGGAATTAAAAAATACTTGGAAGTGTAAATAAGTGATCGGTAGACTGCGGATTTATATGTAAAATGACATTTTCTAATATAATTCCTAAAAACAAGAGCAAATGTAGGAATATCTTCCGTCCCTTAAGTATTTTTCTGTGCTTCAAATTCGTGTTGCGTTTCATGAAAGTTCTGTCTCCTATTGTATTATATATGAAAGTTTTGTCTTCTGTATAATTATTACCCAGCGTAATTGTGTTAATATCAAGGGGTAAGGATCCTCTTTCCCATAACTTGTAATAGAGTTCTGCGGAAAAATTCAGTCTTCCGTCGTTAGAACACGAATGGAAAGCGAGAGAGCTCTCCGGACACGAGCCTAATACAACGAATCTGTCTCGTTTCCTCGCGTCTGGTTTCTATTCGTGTTCGCGATAGAAGAGAAACCAAGACGGTGTCGTGAGCACCGGGAGCGAGGTTAGACGATCCCCGGGATCGATACGATCGGACGCTTACCTTGTAGATCTCATCTACGAGCTTAGTGAGTTCTTCGGTCTCCATGGTGTGTAACTCCTTCGGTGTCTGAAAGCTGCACTTCGAACCGACTTTACGAGATGCTCATATTTTTCCGTCCTTTCCGAGACCGGATCGCGCCACCAGCCGCTCCACTTTCGGCGAGAAGTCGATCGTCTTCGTGAACGGAAGCCGATGGATGGCACGTGTTTCTGGCTGGCCTGTTTTCTCGACCGTGCCTGAAATTAAAGACGGAGATCCGTTTAACGATAATGCCCACGGAGATTATTGGGAAACCCGAGGCTCGAAACTTGACGACAATGAAGGAAAGAACAGGGAAATCGTGTCCCCGTTCAGAATCAATTAAGGTAAACCAACCGAACAATGACCGAGTAAACAAATGACCGAATTGTTAATGTTTGGAAGTTTGAGATTAATACTTGAATGTATTTATTTAGTATAAAGAAACAGCTGTTGAAATTGTAATTAGATTTATTTTTCTTGAAATTCATATAAAAATAAAAGGCCAGTAAATGACTGCTACTTTTCTGAAATTTTTTTAATGAGAGTTGTACTTATTAATGTTTGCGTAATACGCTAAGATAAAAATATGGGATATTAAAAGTGCAACTATACCCAATTTATAAACATTTAGTAATTTTAAATTTTATAATTCACATTTCTTTACCTAATGGAAATTCAGTGGTATGCAGTCAATTACTGGTTTACCCGGCGTTTAGTTTATTCACTTTTGTTCGATGGTGACTTCGATATTACGTTGGTGTGAACAGATTTGGTTTATAGGTAAGGAAAGGAATTGATTGTAGTGAAGATACATAATCGTGGATGTGTAAATATGTGGTCTTAGAGGAAGTAGTCGCGTTGAGCCATTATCATAGGTATTAGGTCTCTGCGCATGAATTGTGGTTCTGTGTGGATAGTGTATTTGATTATACTTTCATGAATGGAAAGTACGAAGGAAGCTCATTATTTGCACGGTAAACTGAAACAAACACTCTATTGTAAGGTAAGCGTACGTCGAAACGAAATTGTTTGAATATTGTTTGAATTGTATTAATGTAGATGAAGATCGTTCTTACGTGTATTTATATTTGACAAATAAAAATTCAAAGAATATTTAAATATGTTAATACTTTACTAACCGGCTCTATAAATAGACTTTTAAATTCCCATGTTTATAAGTAAAAAGCCCATGAATTTACCCTTCAGTCGGGATTAGAAGACTTGAGAGATCTTCTTATCACTGCTGAGGAGTCTTCGAACACTCATCGAGGATTCTATGCCTATCACAGTAAGAAACGTCACTGAAATGACCTTTATCGTAGAATTGTAAATTCGAAAAGACACTACTCGGTCTAAGTCCCAGATAAATCCTGCAAAATCTGCAAACAACGATACGAAAGTGCCCGGCCTGTCGTCTCGGAAAATGGCGGATTCAAGGAGACGTATTCAAATTAATATAAAGAGGCTTAACAAAGTCGAAGCAGTTGCCAACCATGCTAATGCATCAAGCTGATATAACGCTAAGTGAATTTAACTGGTATTCGCCCGGGGGCCACGTAAGGGCCAATGAAATTGTACGAATTATCTGTCTGCGGCGGTGCCAGACCCGGGCGCAATAATTCACGGTTGTAAACCGTCGCATTTAGAATAACAATTTACAAAATCTTGGCCGACGGATTCTACGATGTTTTTATGTTAATGCTATAGCATTAAGATTCTCATCGCGCAATGTGAAGGACTTCCAGCATCTCGTCCTGCGTGCCTAATGAAAACGAGTGCCAAGAACGTCGCCGTTCCGCGAACGTTCTCGTTCGTTTCTCAGGCCGGTTCCATTCCGATTCCTAACCACACTTCGTCATTTGCGTGAAACGACCTGTTAATTTTAAGTAATTAAGCGACACCGACAATAGATTCCCTGGTGTGTATTATTTTTCACGGCAAAGTGTTCCCCTTTATCGCGATTAACTCGAATTGTGTTATCAAAGGAGCGATTAGTGATTCGGGGACACGCATAATACACCTGGCGCATATGATTATATCACACTTTCGCAGAATTGTATTAGCATTTCGGCGGTAGATTGTAGCTTCGCGAGAAATTGGTATTTTGTGGACGTGCTTTAGGAACTAACAAATGTTACCTGTTTGGACTGGAAGTCTTTTTGTACTCGATATTCAATTGTTTGAAGGATAATTCTTCTGTCAAGAAATAAATATCCCTTTTTGTTTTTGTTAACGTTGGCTGGAGAGGGTAAACGAATTATTTTTAACGCACTGGTTAAAAACAGTCGTGGACTGAAATACTAAAAATTGATTATCTAAATAAATCTTATTTTGAACATTCCTTGTTTCTCCCCTCACATTCCACTTGTCTCCTCTCCGGTACAATCAAAATCTTATTATTATCCCCAAGCCAAACAGTTTGCAAAGCTTCTTACCCTGAATCTACACTCCCCTTGCTGAACGAAATCATGAAAATAATAACAGAATTTTCCACACTACTTCCAACCGGTTCCGCTGGAAGATCCCTTACGAGGAATTAATTTTCATAACTCACACTATAAAATTTCTCCCCGGAACTTCCGTGCATTAGCAATTCATACACAGAAAAGTGTTCAAGTTTCATATAACGAAGCAACCGTAAAAAAAAAAAAAATGAAAGAGTTCCAAGTTCGTTCGTGGTACGCTCTAAAAAGCCAGGTCCCGTCCGTGAGAAGAGGAAACACATCAAAACTTGTCCATCCGAGAAAGCAGAGAGTATTTAGAGCCAAGTCTCGTCTCTCAAGATCTAACGAGGCACGGTTCTGCGGCATTACTCACACAAGTTGGACGAAGAGAGAGAGGTCACGTTTTCCAGGGTATACTTTCATTCCGCAAGGACACCCGGTATGTGTTTCGCCCAGGTAAAACGCGTAGAGGGAGAGCAGGGCGGAAAAACCGGCATAACTTCGCAGTTTTATTTCTCGACGCGGATCTGTGCTGTGTGCGCGCGCGGTTAGGCAGGCACACGCTTAAGGTGTCACGGATCGACGATCGAGAGTCACTCTGGACTCGGTTTTCAACCTGATTCGAGAGCAACTCCGGATCGAGAAATCGTGAAAGCACGGCCACGACGACGACCGTGCGCGCGCGCGCCACACAGTTGCCATGTCACCCAAATATGGGTGACACGTACATTGAAAAGTGTCTGGATTATTTAAACACTGTTATAAAATGTTTGCATGAAATTAATATCGCAGTATAATTTAAAACAAGACCTACAGCCTCTATTAACTAAACTCAAATATTTTCGACAATTTATGACTTAAAAAACGAAATAAAGTGTGTCTGGCTACGTGCGGCCTTTTTCACTGTGGCAGTCAACGTGTTAAAACATTGACTGTCACAGTGAAAATGGTCGTACGTAACCAGACACATTTTATCTCGATTTTTAAGTCGTAAATCGTCGAAAATATTTGCGTATAGTTAATAGATGCTGTTGGTCTTGTTTTAAATTATACTGCGATCTTAATTTTACACAAAACTTTTATAACAATATTTAGATAATCCAGATTCTTTGCAATGTACGTGTCACCCACATTTGGGTGACGTGGCAGTCAAAGTGTTAAAACGGTCGTCGGACCGCGAAACGGGATAAATTTTATCAATTTTTAGTACATAATTTTCGGTTTTTTTAAGTTCCTAAATCTCTGAGGGACCTTACTTAGACTGTCAATTTGATTATAAGAAGGGTTCAAATAGGGTAATGTGTGTAGAGAAGTCAGTAATTTGTTCCGTTTTAACCCGTTAATTCCCAGTGTTGCACCGGTGCAAGATTCATTTTAGAAGTGCGTTAAATTCTGTCACCGGTTATTATCTAACATTTGTCAGCAAGGATCCGTAGTTTCACTAATATAAAGTAGATCTTCAGGTTTTCAGTTGAGAAATTGAAGTATTCCCTTCAAAAATAAGTGAAAAAAGAAAATATGGAAGAAATAGGTATGTTTAATATCGATTTTTTTTACTTCAAAATAACAAGATGTAACGTATATACCAATCTCATAATTTTGCAATAACGATTTAAGGGTATGGGCGTTAAAGGGTGAAAGAATACCATTTAGCAGTTGATGTTTCTTCTTCTTGTAAAAGGTGTTATATAAAATGAATTATTTTACGTGTCATGGATTTTATAGACAAAGATGCAGACTTAGACTTTCCCATAGGCAGATTAAAAAGTTTGATTAGACGTCCGAATAGACGTGGTCAATAGTAACCAATTTTTTAATGCACGAATTTCGGTTTTTGTAAGTAAAACTAAATGGTTTGATACGATCTGATGAAAATTTTACTTCTATATTATTATGGGTACAGATTCACTTCTCTGTTTTTGTTTGTAAAAGTCAAGTACGACTTTTTCCAAATTTTTGTATAATTTAATTTTTTTTTGTATAATTCAGTTTTTGTTTCGAATATTTCGAATTTCTACAAAAATAATTTTAAAAAGACGTAGTTATTAATGATTCTTACTTGTTAGCAATGATCTATACACTTTTCCGATTAAACATAGTTTTTCGCGGTCAGATGGCTGTTTTAAAACACCGTGCGCGACGGTGAAGATTTTAACGACCTCCTGTTTCTCTTTTTATTCTTTTTACCTTAGTCCCACGACGAGAGCGGCTCATCGTCGCGTGACATCCGTGCGCGAGCGAGACAGGAAAACCGATTACTCGCGGGAAGATAGGAAAATCTTCCCCAGAGTGATAATTTCTGGAGCAATAATTCCGAGAGCGCGATCGTGAGGAACGCCGGGGCACACGCCGATCGCGCGATAAAACCTCGTGGATGTATTTCAATTTTCCCCTCGGATCCGTTGTAATTATTACGGTTCTTCCGCGGCCTCCTTTCTCTTTTATTTCAATCCCCACCCCTCCCGCCCCCTGCCCAGGCGGTGATGGAAAAAAAAATTAACCGCATCGCTGCAATCCGTCAGAAGCGGAGTGTCGGTTGAAGGATAACCGTGCCTGCGGTCGATTTTTCATTGCGGGCTTACCG